TTTTTTTGAGACAGAGGCTCGCTTTGTGAGTGCCGTGGGGTCGGCCTAGCTCACAGCAACCTCAAACTCCTGGGCTCAAGCGATCCTGTTGCCTCAGCCTCCTGAGTAGCTGGGACTACAGGCATGCGCCACCATGCCCGGCTGATTTTTTCTATTTATTAGTTGGCCAATTAATTTCTTTCTATTTATAGTAGAGACGGGGTCTTGCTCTTGCTCAGGCTGACCTCAAGCAATCCGCCCACCTCGGCCTCCCAGAGTGCTAGGATTACAGGCGTGAGCCACTGCGCCTGGCCATGTGTGTGTTAATATACGGTGGGGGGAGAGGTTTAGGGAAGACCCGCCCCACCCCAAAGGTGCACTGAAAGATCAACTCACAATAAGGCAGATTAATAAGAGAAAGAGATGACAAACTTATTGGTCCAGTGCATGAATAGAATCACAAAGTAATCACCCAATCTCCCAGTGGGGGCCAGAGATTTCTATATACTCATTTTAGAGGGGAAGGGGAGATAAGGAATGTAGGTAATTCTGTTGAGGGGCAATAAATGGTTACCAGGGAGGATGACTAGATACTTGGGAGAATGCACGGATGGGGAGGGAAACAGATTGACTTGTAAGTGATTCTCTTTGGAAATAAAATTAATGTTGAGAGACGGGGTATTTTTTCAAGGAGTTGGTCCAGATCTAATGCTGATTTTGCATTCTTGATATTCTTTCCTACAGTAGATATGGAGAAAATGGGATGGGGAAGGAAAGATAATTGTCCTTTTTTTTATTGAGACAGAATCTCACCCTGTTGCCTGGGCTAGAGTGCCGTGGCATCAGCTTAGCTCACAGCAACCTCAGACTCCTGGGCTCAAGTGATCCTCCTGCCTCAGCCTCCTGAGTAGCTGGGACTACAGGTATGCACCACCATGCCCAGCTGATTTTTTCTATATATTTTTAGTTGTCCAGCTAATTTCTTTCTATTTTTAGTAGAGACAGGCTCTTGCTCTTGCTCAGGCTGGTCTCGAACTCCTGAGCTCAAACGATCCACCCAGCTTGGCCTCCCAGAGTGCTAGGATTACAGGCGTGAGCCACCGCGCCCGGCCAATTGTTCTTAATGAGTCCGTCTGGTTTTTATGAAGATAGAGGGAAAGCCCCTTCCAATGTCTCCGGATCTCTAAGAATATTCAAAATGTTCTTTATACCAAGGACTCATATACTGAGGTTAAATTCCCTGAGTTCCTTCACATACATACGCATATTTCCTGCTGGGGAGGGCCTAGGAACATTAAAATCCCAGAAGCAGTGCACACACGTGTTAGGTCCGGAGCTGAGAGAGGGATACAAGAAGCCTCATGTGTAGCTGTTTATTTTGAACATCTGGGTGCAGATGGGTGGAAGTGAAAAAGTGTCCACAAGAGAAAAGGGGAGAGCCTTGGGTTTTACAGAGGGTTTTCTCAGCGAGAGTAAGTAAGTGGGCCAGAACAGCTGCTTGCAATAAATTTTTCTTCAAATACCCAACTTCTAGGACCCTTGGCCCTGTCAAGTCCATCCTTCTTCTCTGGCTTCGTCCTTATCAGGAGAGCTAGGGAGGGACGGCCTTCATCTCTTTCAGGGAGGGAATGGGAAGGAACACTGGCTGCAGCTGTCTGTTAGATTTATAAAGTCTGGAGACATTCCAGACTCCTGGGGCTATTGTTTTTACAAGCTTAAGTTTTGCATAAACCCCATTCTGTCCTGCACATAGTTCTCACCTGGAACAAAACTAACAATCCACGGTGATCAGATCCTAGTTTTAAAATATCTTCCCCAATAGAAGGAAGCAAGGATCTTTGGAGAAATGGCTGACTTCAGGGTTGGGGCAGAGAAAATACATGAAAAACCTGGAACATCTTTGGCAAAGGAAATCTCTGGAAATGATCCCCCCAAAAGGGGGCTTGTCATAAAGGACACAGAGACCAACCTGAAGGAGCTCCTATAGGCCGAAGCTGGAGTAGTGATCTAATGACTCTAATCACCATCAGTTCCATAATGGATACTAACGTCAGAGGATGGATGTGTTGCCAGGTGCAGTTCCTGCTGCCCTACACCTGCCAGCCGGCCAGGAGAGGCCAGTGTTGTTGAAGGAAAGGTACAGGCAGCCTGGGGAGATGGCAGACGACTGTCTCAAAAGAGCATCTCATCTCTTCTGCTTACTGAGCAAATTATAAATGAAAGAGATATGGGAGGCTGGTAGCAGAGAGCAAGATTTGTGCAAGTCATCATGACTTGCTGGATAGTTAGCAGCGAACAATAGGTTATCTGGTGGGATTTGCACACAAGTGTTTTCATTTGGCCTGTGCCAGACTCTAGATCTGTTTTTTCTCAAGATCATTTTCTCATATTGGCCTGGCAGCTCTGTGAGCAAGCAGCAAGTTAATTCTAAACTTTTATGACAAAACAAACCAAAAGCATGAATGGCCCCTGGGGTGCACTTCCAGAAGCTTAGTGTGAAGCAGTGTTTGCACATTCACAAAGTATCTCCCATAAGATATTTATTCATAATAATAACATTATTAGGTTATTACATGAAATGTCCGATTTCCTTAAGTACTAATTTTGACAGTTGATACTGTTGACATTTCACTTTGACACTTCTTGTTTTATTTTTATTGTGAAGATACATCCTTATTCTTTCAAACGTATGGTTTGGCTTGTGGTTATCTCTCAAAGTTGTTTTTAGAGCAATTTTTGTTAAACCATGGTTAAGTCAAAAATTCACGTTATTTTTGAATATGATTTCTGTCGTGGAACTAATGCTGTGCATAGAGCTTGAAATCGCAAAGAAGTGTTTGGGAAGGATGTGGCTAATGAACTCACAGTACGTTGATGGCTTGAGAAGTTCTGTTCTGGCGAGTTTAATTTTGAAAATAAACGAGCCACGTGGACAACCTGAGACCAAGGTGGATAATGATGAGCTGAAACCTATAGTGGAAGCGAATCCAACTGTAACTATACATGAATTATTAATAGCAGTAAGGGTTGACATTACTATTCCAAAAATATCGGACCATTTGAAACAAATTGGCAAGGTAAAGAAGCTGGATCGTGTTAGAGGTTTGTTTCAGGTGGGAACCCAAAAAGTATGTATGGGACAGAATGTGGTTCATGCAAAACTTAGGCTTGTAAAACAATGGCCGTAGGAGTCTGGAGAATCCCCAGACTTTATAAATCTAACAGACAGCTGCTGCCAGCATTCCTTTCCCCCTCCGCCCCAATAGAGACGAAATCTGTCCCTCCTAGCTGGAGCTGAAGGATGGATGTGACTGGGGCAGGGGTCTAGGAGCTGGTTGTTTGACAAAGAATTAATTACATATGAAGCCTTGGATATGATATTCTTTCTGGAAATGGTATCCTGAAAAGGGAACAGCATGACTTCTGTGATATTTTGCAAAAGATGTATAATCATAATTGAATCGTGAGAAAACAGCAGATAGACCCAAACTGCCTTGTATTCCACAAAATAACTGACCAGGTGTCTGCAAAAGTGTCACAATCATGAAAGAGAGGAAGACTAGAGAAGTGTCAGAGATTGAAGGTGGCTAAGGAGACATGACCACTAAATACAGTGTGGGGTCCTCGATGGGATCTTGGACTTGAAAAAGGACACTAGTTGAAAAACTGGTAAAATCAAAGTAAGGTCTGCAGTTTACTTAAAAGTATTATATCTGTGTTAAATTCCTGGTTTCGATCATCGTACTATGGTTATGTAAGATGTTAACATTACAGGATGCTCAGTGAAGGGTATTTGGGAGTTTGTACCAGTTGTGCAATTTTTTTGTAATGTAAATATTTCCAAAAAAAGGTGTCAAAGATACACATTAAATTATTTATTGATGAAATAAGACAAAGTCTGGGGTTTGCTTCAAATATTGCTGACGGTAGTTGAACCAAGGCGATGGGTACATCAAGCTCATTGCACTGTTCTTTCTATGTTTGTATGTTAGACAATTTCCATTAGAAGTAGAGAAATCACATGTACACATTGAGCCCCTGCCATATGCGGGGCGCCGTGGTCAGCCACGGGGACAGGGCAGCCCTGCCCTCAGGAGCTCACGGTGAGCTGGGGAAACGCAGACGCTGAACACAGAACGTAGGAAGAGTGACAGGACAGAGCAAGGACGGGATGCCTGGGAGGAGGGGAGAAGAGCATGTTCTGGGCAGAAGAAACGGTGCATCAAGGGCCTTGGGCTAGAGAGAAAGGCCAACGTGTTCCCGTAGAGAAGGATCCGCCAGTGACCCCAGGTACTGCAGCTGAGATCTTCCCACTCAGGGCCAGGACAATCTGCTGGATTCTTCCAGCCTGTAGAGTTTCGCAGCAGCGTTCATCATTGAGTCTTTTTTTATAAACATAGGTGCAGTCTCCCCATCCTCTCTCTCAAGTCCCCTTTCCTGACAACACCCTCTTATGCCACTGTCCCTCACAAGTTTTCTCATCTGCCCTAAACCTGCAGCCTATTTAATGAGATCCTGATGGTTGCATGTCTCTCCTGCCTCTAAACTCGCCCCTCCAGGTGGGAGACCAATATTCAGTGCCTGCTCAGTAGGAGTTAAATTTACACGTAATCGATTATGTGTAAATCGATTCTTCCAGCCTGTAGAGTTTCGCAGCAGCACTCATCATTGAGTCTTTTTTATAAACATAGGTGCAGTCTCCCCATCCTCTCTCTCAAGTCCCCTTTCCTGACAACACCCTCTTATGCCACTGTTCTCCTCCCCCCTACAAGGTTTCTCATCTGCCCTAAACCTGCAGCCCATTTAATGAGATCCTCCTTAAACAGTGTTCAAAGAAGCCTGCTCCCCAGGGACCTTCTGAGGCAGCCAGATAGATTTGAAATCCCTTATTGTGCATTTCTGGATAGCCTTGAAATGAAACATTGTTGATTGTCTTGCTTTCTAGTCCAGCATGGAACTCTGGAGCCTTCTATGGGGTGGGGGTGGCTGTTCCCTGTTGGGCCCGCCCAGCTCAGCAGGCAGGAGTGTCCCAGCATTTAAGCAGCTGGCACAGCCCAGGAGCTGGCCTGCAGGAGCTGAGCAGAGACGCAGCCAGGACTTTGTCAGGTTAGTACTGACCTTAAGAACCTTCCTAAATGGTCTCATGTCTGCTTCACCAGGAGAGCATGTTTAAACGTGTTACTCTGTGTGTGCACTTTACTTTCTTACTGTGCCTTCTTAGTGTGCTCAGGAGACAATTCAAGCATTGTTTACTGGTTCCGGCAGAAATAGCTTAAACAAAAATAAGATTCGGGAATTTAGAGAACAAGGGCAGTGACTTTGATGGTGTGAGAAAAGTGAGAGTGACAACAGTCTATGCAATCTGAAAATGCCACCATGCATTTGTCGGAGCTTAGGTGCAATTTTTTACACAGTTAGATGGGAGGTATCAACGCCTGCTGATTAGGATCTAAATTTCCATGTACATATTCGCTTACATATGCATTAGCTTATTTGTTCAGATCAGTTATGAATACTTTGCAACTTAAGACCAAGTGGTGTGGTATTTGCCCTTTTCCTCCTTCTCTTTGTTCTTCCTCTTCATCTTTTTTCTCCCCCCTCATCCTCTTCTTCCTCTTCCTCCTGTTATTTGTTCAATGTTTGTGGGACCAAAGGCTGAGCAAGATGTACAGTCTCAAAATTACAAATGAATCTACATGTACGTATAGGACAGTACAACAAGTGCAAGTGGACGTGTATCTTAGAGAAACTTAGGAACTTAAAAATAATGCTGCCCTTCTCTCGAACTGTCTTGTTTCTAGTCTTAACAGAGCATTTGTGAATTCCTTCTATTTTCCAGATTAAATGTTCCCATGGCTACCCTTGCAAAATAGGAAAACAAGTGTGGACTTGCATCGTAGAGAAACTTAGGAACGTAAGAATAATGCCCTTCTCTCTTGCTGTTTCTAGTCCAACAGCATTTGCAAATTCCTTCTATTTGCCAGATTAAATGTTCTCATGGCTACCCTGGAAAAATACTTTTTTGTTGTTGTTGCTTAGTCTTAATGTTTCTACTACGTGGGCTAGTTCCATTGCTATGTTAATTCTGTTTAAACAGCAGAGTGGTGGATTTCATAATCAGCATTGGTTATTTTACCCCCATGATCCTGGCTTGTTATGTAATTACTCTGTACTACTGGGTTCTAAAATGGCAAGCCCTATGAGGGAAAAGCTAAAAAACAAACTAACCAAAAAAAAAAAAAAGTGAAGCTTTTGAGTTATCTAGCTGAGTCATATCCCGTGAAGACTGGAGTGAACTTGGACTGATGCCCTGCTGCCTGTGAGCTCGCAGGGAGAGGGGAGGGGGGCAGGAGCACCGTTACTTTCCCTTCCTGCTCTGTAACTGGGTATTCCTTGGCGGAGCGCTAGATATATCACCAAAACATATAAACACTTTTTATGAGGCTCCTGTAGGGACCAGGTAGGATGTAACATGATAAAAGTCAGTAGTGCAGGGCAAGAATTGCCCAACATAAAAAAAAAAAAAATCACATACAGGAAAGCCTTGGGATCTCAGAAAGACGCTGTGAAAAGTCACTTTGGTTGGAGCTCTGCTGCAGGAAACATTTTTCAGAGAAAAGAGAGTGCCCCCGACAGTGTTTACTGGCCCAGGCCTTGGGCTCTCTATGCAAGAGAAATTAGCAAGAGGCCGAATGGGAGTCCCAGGCAAGGCACAGAGAGGAAAAGTCCTCAGGTTGCCTCCGGGAAGGTAGTTCAGGGAGAGTTTTGTGGACGGAAAAATCCAAACTCTGAAAGATTTGAAGGAAGTTTATTCTGAGCCAAATTTGAGGACCACGACCCGGAGCCACTCCCAAGAAGCCTTGAGCAAGTGGACTCGATGTGACTGGGTTACAGTTTGATTTCATACATTTCAGGGAGACAGGGGTTACAGCTGAAGTCATGAATCAATATGTGGGAGCCATACATTGGTGGCTTGGCCCAAAAAAGGTGGGAGATCTAGAAGTGAGGGACTTACAGGTTACAGGTGGGTTTAAAGATTCCTTGGCTTGTAATTGGTTAAAGACATGAAGCTTTGTCTAAAGGCTTGGAATGTTTCCACATAAGAAGTTGTTATCAGAGATAAGCCACTGAACACCGTTAGGCCAGTCAATGGGTTACAAAGGAGTCTCCGAGAAGGGAGGGGGGCATGATGAGGCCTGTCTGACCTCCCTCCTCCTGGCAGACAATTTAGTTTTAGGATATTCCTTTGGCCATGAGAGGGTCCATTCAGTCAGCCGGTTGGGGGGTGAGCCTTAAAATTTTATTTTAGTTCACAGTTTTAAAGAGGCTTAGGCAGGAAAAGGTTGACACGTGAGCACATAGAGGTGGAGATTTTCTTTCGTCTGCCTAGTTCTATTACATGCTGCTTCATGTGTGCCATGTCTCAACAGCATGCTAAATAAATCTCCTCTCCCGGTGTGATTTTTAGCATCAAAATGAGATTATAATGAGGGGAAAGGCAGGGTAAGAGCAGTGTAGGGATTCTTTTTGCTTGAGGTGGTTAGAACCAGATAGGTCTGGTTTCTTTGCAGCCAGGTTCTTCATCAGCTACTGTCAGCATTTTGTTTCAATGCTCTCAGAAAATACTGCCCAATAGACAGAGGGTTTACCCCCACCCCCACCCCCACCCCCACCCTTATGTGTGTGTGCTGAATTCCAGCAGATAGGAAGTCATTTGTTTTTTGTTTTTTCATCTTCAGTTCACTAGGCTGGATCATGCTGTCCCATGTTGCCCCATTGGTCAGAAGTGAGACCCTAGTCCTGTCCTTGTACCGTCTCATTACCCTCGGAGAGATTCCACCCTCCTGATTCTTAAGGCCCAAGGTTGTTTCCTGCTGAATATGGCCACTGTCCCTACTTACATTTCCAGGTGGTAAAAATCTCTTGCTGATGGATCTAACGATTTATAGGGGTCTTCAACAGATGGTATAGATTGGAACCCCTGAGCCAACATCAACTTGACATGCAACTCTTGGGGCCTGGAAGACACCTTATTAGTAAGTTAAAAAAAAAAAAAAAAAGCAGGGACCAAAAAGTAATAGTATTATAATAGGGGGAACATAACTGGTCCCAGTAAGGGAAGGAACAAGTAACGGAAGGGAGATAAACTTTAACTGAGTAAAGTTTTGAGCAGCAGGGTTATCAAGCTTGTGTAGTCATCTGGCTTGGGCCAAAAATGGCCTTAGGGTCCGTTTTTAAATTTGGTATCTTATTGACATGGAGGCCATTTTTTCAGTCTTATGATTTCTATTTTAACATTAATGTTAAACTCCAAAAGTAGGGGAGTATAAGAAGGTGTGTCTGACGTCTTAAGATTCAGTTTTAACGTTTTCCTGGAGTCCCGTTGGCCAAGAGGGGGTCTGTTCAGTCGGCAGGGTTTACAGTTTTTTCTTTTTGGCCAAGATTTGCCAGAGGCAGGATTTTCATTGATGGACAAACTTTCATTGTGTCTGGTCATTGCCAAGGTGGTGCAACAACCTGCCCTGGTTCCACCCTGTCCCTCAGTGGGACACTGTGGCCAAGGGACTTAAAGTCAAAAGACTTATAGCCAATTAGGTGTTCAAGGCCAGATGAGGATGGAGGCGGGCAGGTATTGATCAACTTTTAAAACCGTTTGAACGACATAAGAGCAAAGGCCAAAAGCAAGGTTATAAAATTAACTTATCTGTAACCGTTGAGCTACTGTTAGATTTGTAGGAATTCACTATACAAAACAAGCATTTTGTTAAACCCATTTGAGCTAAGCATGTCTTAGAGACTCTTGTATCAGAATGGTCTTTTTGTGGTCTCTTTAAAGAATTAACATCTTAACCAAAAAAGGTTATAAATCTTGCCTACTTGTGGCAATGACAGGAAAAAGAAGTTTACAGGTAGCTAAACATTCAAATTATCTACATTGTGTAGACATTTGTCAAAGATGTTAAAAGGCTTAGAACATTTTATCAAAATAGGATCTCATGTTACTATAAAATAATAGCAATTTGCTTAACCAAGAGTGATAATCAGGAGACTTTAAAGAGAATACAGAAAAACCTTAACTTTTAAAGCACAGGCTTCCCAAGTAATCAAAAACCTAATTAGGGCCGGCGGGATTTTTTTTGTTAAACCTTAAATTTTTTGTTTTTTGGGCCCTTTCTTAAAAAGTAAAAAATCTTCTTTAGTGCAATTGCTTTTTCTTATGGGAAACAAATCTGGGCAACTTTGGAAAGTCAAATCTCATGAAAAGGGTCAGACATAAAAAGACCATTCAGGGTCATGAGTGAGTATTATATTATAAAGGAAACAAGAAACTAGGAAGCAGTACCTTGAGAAGAGGAATATGTAACTCTTAGTAACAGCATAGGAAGATTATTTTAATCATATTGAACAATTCAGATATATCAAGAAGCTAAGAAAACACAATGCTTTTTAGGCCTTCAAGGTAAACGTTTTAGCCTCAGGCATTCACAGCAGACTTAGAACCAGATCTAGAGGGGGGAAGAAAGTTACAGGAATTACCAAAAAGGTTGAAGGAGGAGAGGGTTACCGTCTCAGGCCTTCTCAAGGAGAGGCAAGGCTGAAAAGAGCAAGATGGAACAAAAGTTGAACTTCTGAGATACAAATCTGAGAAGTCTCAAAAGAAGCAGATTATAGAATTACAATCAGAACTTTTTGCAATTTTATTAAGGGCAAATCAATACCTTAAGAAAACTTGTTTTAACCAAAAAAAATTTTTTTATTTAAAAAATTGTAGGCAACTCGATCACATACAAAATTCCTTTATAAATTTTCTTTCATCAATCTTATCACAATTTACATAGACCATCTATGACAAACTTGGCCTTTCTGTTTTGTCCTCAATCTCCCCTTGCTTCAATAACCAGTTTATTTTTGCATAAAAATTTACTATACAAGACCATTTCTTTATATTAAATCATTCTCTTTTCTCGCCAAAACTTCTTATCAAAACTACATCTTTGTATCCATAACCCTCCACATCCCTCTCTCTCTGTCACATTCACAGGATCTCCAATATCCTCTACCCTTTTATTTTAAGTAACCTTTAGGCAACCTTTGAATCAGTCAGAATTACCCCTTTTTCAATCAGAAGACATTTTATGCCTCTTCTATAATTTTTTATTATTTGAATAAAAACATCTTATTTTCTGTATACTTTATATATATATATATATAGTCACGTATATTGACTAGAATTTTTATTCTTAATAGCCTTACATTTTAGTAAAAACCTAAGAAGCAGGAAATTTCAAATTATTTGTTATTTTATTTATATTTACTCAATTTATTTGTTTAAGCAAGTTACTTAGATCTTAGTTATTATTTTAAGTTATTTCCCGGTTAACCATTATTATAGCCTGTGTATATTACATAAAAACAACAAACACATGAGTGTTTTTCCAGATAACTCAGAAGATCCAGCTGTTTTCATTAATCTACCAATATTCGATTAGTCTTACTTATAAAAAAATCACATAAACACAGATCATGTTGGTTTTGGCTGGGTTTATAGTTTTATAATCTTTGTGTTAAACTTTGATGCTTTAAAACATTAAGCACAGGTAAAAGGTAAAAATGACTTGTAAACTCTGGCAGAAATGTATGCTGGCAATTTGAAGGTATATTTGTCTTTACTTACGAACAATAGCTTTTTTTAACCTAGCTTATTTACCAAAAGTGTATTAAAATCTCCCATGAACTTGAAAAGCACTTAGCCTTATTTACTTAATCGATGAGCACACCTTTATAAGTGAATTTGTTACCATGGAAACACAATATATAACAATGTACATACACATGAATATATTTAAATATGTATACACACACATATGCACAAAAAGATCTAATAATTTTTACCTCTGAATTTCAGTCGTGAGATAACAATATAAACTCACCAGTTTGCAAAAAGGGATTGGATGCAAATTATTTTTGGCAAAATTGTAACTTGTTTACTTGGCTGAACTTTCCTTGCCCCAGTAGGTAATGTAATGAAAGCTGGGGACCAAAGTTGTGGGTAAAGCAGATTCCGTGGCAGTTTGATTTTTTTTTTTAAGACTCTTTTACTTGTTTTTGTTCACTTTAAATGAACTTGAAATGAATTTTCAATGTTTATATTATAGCCAGAATTTTCTGCCCTAATTAGTGCACTGAATTAGTCGTCCCACATCCAGTGAGCTTTGTCTCAACTCCAGTAGTGATGTAGCCACTGCGGATTTGAAGTCTGCAGAAAAGAAAAGAGGCAGTGAACTCCAGACTCCATGTTTTAACTCTGTGATGGCAGATTGTCCGTTTGAACACTGAATTTTCCTTGATGTGGTATATTCAAGAGGTTCTAAACAAAAGCCCCTCGAAGTAAGGTGAGCCTCACTAGGGAGGCCCAGGGTGTACTTAAATTTTCGGGTGGAAGCTAGAGGAGTCTGAGCAGTCAGCCCTTCCTCCGAGTTTCGGAGATTAAGGCCTCTCTTTGGGAAGACGGAATGACATTTCCATTGTGAGACCTCAGGCTGTGGGTTGGAGTCTCACTGGGTGAGTGGCCTGGGAAAGACCACCTCAAAGGGGTAGGCGAAGCCCAGTTGGCCTTCAGGAAAGTGCCTGTGGGTGGGAGTGATTCGGAAAATGTCAGGCACAGGACGTGGCCACTTGCCGCGTCCCTGTAGCTCCGCAGCTCCACAGGCCAGCACTGCCTGTGGAGGGCAGCAGGTGGAGGGCACGCTGCTGGGGCGGGGCGGAGGCAGAGAGCCACCTGGGGACCTGCATGCCAGAACGCCCCCAGGCCCACGAGCTGCTGCCTGTTTCAGGCCAGGCTGCTTGTGTGATCCTGATTGGGTAATTTTTGAGTCCCACTGTTTTTGATTGGATGTTAAAGCTTGTTGTTGATTGGATGTTAAAGCTTGATGTTGATTGGATGTTAAAGCTTGTAGCTGATTGGATGCTTTCTGAGCCCCACCAAGGGTATAAAAGCAGGAGGAGACCAAGGAAAGTGGAGCGGAAGCGGTGGAAGGATCGGAAGACTCGAAGAGAGCTGTAACACTAGGTGTGCTGAGCCTGCTGTAGAAGAATAAAGGCTGTTCTCCAACTCTTCGTGTGCCGCTTGGTTCTTTCCCTGGTCAAACAAATAAGAGCTGTAACGCTAGCTGTACACATCGTGCTAGCTGTACACATTGCCGCAACAGGAGGGGCTTTTGTACCAAAAGTGGACATAAACTGCAGAGGAGTTGCAAAAGGGAGAAATAGGTTGTCCCTGAGAGCAGGGAGTCAGGACAGTAGGAAAGGAAGAGGCGACTTGCCATTTATTAGCTGGAATTATAAGAGGACAAAGCAGAGGAAGAAAATAAGAAATAACCCAAAATGTGCACAAAGCCAGTAGAGACCACTGGGCCCAGGCATCCCTGGCACTGTCCTGAAGGCCACCTGGGCATCGCCTGTCCCTTTGTTTGAGGTGGTCTTTCCTAGGCGCCTTACCCAGTGGGATTTGAACCCCATAGCCTGAGGTCTTACGATGGAGATGTCTGTCAGTCTTTCAAAAGAGAGTCCTTAATCTCAGAAACTTGGAGGAAGGGCTGAATGCTCCGAATCTTCTAGCGCCATAACTCAAGAAGTGGTGAGAGGAGAGAGCTACATGTATCAGTAGAACATATAATTAGTATTTATAACACACACGAAGTCTCCAGATAGCATGCAACATGATGAGAGCCAGTAGTGCCCCACAATAATTGCCAACATAAAAAATAAATAAATAAAACCAAGATCTTATGCAGGAAAGCTTAAGAATCTCACAGAGACCCTGTAAAAAGTCACATTGGTGTTGGACCTTTGCAGGGCAAAACAAAAAATTCATAGGAAAAAAATACTGTCCAAGGAGGAAGAAATGGAAACACTAATAAAGAACAAGCACTTTTAAATGGGCCATAAACAGATTTTTGGACAACTCTAAGCAGTGACCCTAACCTAAGGTAGAAAGGAGACTTTCGAGAGGTAAAAACAGTGGCCAAGCCTGGACAATGTCACCTGGATGGTAGGAGCTACATGGGCAGGGGCAGGTGCTCCGGTTTCCCAGCCTGGCAGCCCTTGCTGTGACTTCCTTGGTGAAGAAAATCATGATTTTGGTTAGAATTCCCAGGAACCCATTAAGTGGGGGTTTTTTTAAATTAAAAAAAAACCTCTTGGCGGGGCGTGGTGGCTCACGCCTGTAATCCTAGCAATCTGGGAGGCTGAGGAGGGCAGATTGCTCAAGGTCAGGAGTTTGAAGCCAGCCCGAGCAAGAGCCGAGACCCCATCTCTACTAAAAAAATAGAAAGAAATTAATTGGCCAACTGAAAATATATAGAAAAAATTAGCCGGGCACGGTGGCGCATGCCTGTAGTCCCAGCTACTTTTGGGAGGCTGAAGCAGGAGGATTGCTTGAGCCCAGGAGTTTGAGGTTGCTGTGAGTTAAGCTGATGCCCTGGCACTCTAGCACGGGCAACAGAGTGAGACTCTATCTCAAAAAAAAAAAAAAAAATTCTTGTCAAATAAAAACCATGCTAGGTTTAACACATCACATAACCTCTATAGATATGAATAATCTCTACTGTAAACTTAGAATAATAACAGGATATACATCATGTAACTTTTCTGACAAACAAATGTGAATAAAAATGAGAACTTTTATATTATGTGGTAGACATTAAACCAATGTTGGTTCCTTTCCTTATATAGAAAGTTAACGCAGGAGCTACCTGTTTTCGAGGTTATAAAGTAAAATTCACCCAGAAGTGGGAAAATATAGAAACCTAATAGGAAAAAGAAAGGAGCACCTTGTTCTGTAAAAGATAGTTTAGGTTTTGGCTACAGTCAGGACAAGACTAAGCCCCGGTTCTGCTTGTGGACGAGCGCAGCATAACAGCCGAACAGCTGAAGACTGACTCTGCTCCCTCTTGGTCCACCCTTTCAGTGAAGCCCTCTGGGTTCAAGGTCCCTCCCAAGCTTCCAGGGCCTTCCCCTGTGTGGGATCCAGGCTGCCCTCTTCAGCTTCTCAAACTAAGGACAAATGGCAACATGAGACTGGTTTGGTGCATTTTTACAATGCTGGTAAGAAATTGGGCCAATTTGGGCCCAAGACCTTCTGGCTTCTCCTCTAACCCTGCCACAAGGAAGGCAGATACCATCAACCTTACATCCAAAAGCACATTTTGCTTCTGTGGACTCATTCATTCATATATTTATTTCTGTTTACCGAAAACAAGAGACTACTATTATGGCGGGGAAGCCCAAGCTTCACTACTACGATGGACGGGGCAGAATGGAGGTCATCCGGTGGCTCTTGGCTGCAGCTGGAGTAGAGGTAGGTTGGGACTTAGGTCAACTTGAGTCATACCTAAAATGGACTGTATCAAAATCCTTTTCTAAGCCAGGAGACTTCCATGTAAGATGATGTATGAATAAATAGTTTTGCCTTCAATGAAAATATCCCCAGTTATTAAGAGAAAAATGTTCTGATTTGACCAAATGGAAGTAAAAGAAAGCTGTCCATCCAAGATCACATAAACAATTAAAAGATATATTCAAAAGAAACATCAGTTGAACATTATGTGTGGGCCTCATTTGGATTTGGATATGAGCAAAGCATAAAATGTAATTTGTGACATTTATACCAAAATTAGGAACCTGAATATTGATTGAAGATTAGATGATATTAAAGAATTTCAGTCAATTTTTTAGTGTAATTGTGCCTGATTTTAGGGATGGTATTATTGTTATTTTGAAAATGGTTGTTATGTTTTATAAGTACACACTCTAGTATTTAGGATGAAATGATATGAGACTCCCAATTAGTTTTATTTATTTATTTATTTATTTTTTTTTAGGGCCTGAAGTTAGGGTACCAATTAGTTTTATATTATAACCAGAGAGGGAGAGAGGTTGGCCTACAATGAAAGCAACTTGGCTTGAGTTGGTATTTATTGAAGCTAGGCGACTGGGACACATGGATCATTGGATGTTATATGTATTTTTATGCATGCTGGAAATTTCCATCATAAAAAAGTAAAATGTATGAGAAGCTCAGTGGGATTAAAGTATAAAGCACATGGGGGGAAGGAGGGAGGGGATTCCAACACATTTCATGTTAGACTGAGTAAATTCATTCAGCAGTGATTTTCTTGAGTACCTACTAAGTGCCAGGCTCTGTGCTAGGCTCTGGGGTAGACAGAGAACAAGACAGACCTGGTCCCTGCCCTGGAGCAGCCTGCATGTTTCTGAGGACACAGACAAGTAAGTAGGTGACTAAAATGAGGAGTGGGGGCCTCTAGGAGAACACCCCAGCATTCCACAGTGTTCCAAGGCCCTTCTTCCCAGGGTCTGAACAGGAAGTGCTGGTGGGTTTCTGGGCGTGACTCTGTGGAGTGCTGCCCTCTGCAGGTGTCCCTGGGAAAAACACTTGCGTGTGCATTACTGAGGCTCAGCAGGTGTGTGTAAGGGGGAGAGGCAGGGACAGGCCCAGGAGACCTTGTCCTGAGGCAGGAGCAGCAACTGGGGAGGACAGGGCTGATTAAGGCCGTGGCTCAGGGCTCTGGCTTCCCAGTGCCCAGAGGCTGATGGTTATGATCCAATCCCTCAGGGTCTCCAGCAATATCACAGTGGTGACCGTGAGCAGTGGCTCACACCTCTAATCCTAGCACTTTGGGAAGCTGAGGTGGGAGGATCCGCTTGAGGCCAGGAGTTTGAGACGGGCCTGAGCAAAAGTGAGCCGCTGTCACTACAAAAAAAAAAGAAAGAAAAACTTAGCAAGGCGTGGTGACTCATGCCTGTAGTCCCAGCTACTCGGGAGGCTGAGGCAGGAGGATCGCTTGTGCCCAGGAGTTTGAGGTTGCTGTGAGCTATGATGACAACACTGCACTCTAACCTATGTGAGAGAGTGAGACCCTGTCTCAAAGAAAACAACAATAAACAAAAACTCACCACACTGGCCAACCCCATCCCACCTCTTGCTGTGACCAACCGCCACCCCTCTGTTTGTCTTCAAGTGGACGCTTTGTTAATTGCTGGCACACGCCCCTCCTCACTTAGACACCTCTATCATACATTTACACCTAGGATTATACCATGACCCTGCATGGTCACAGATCGGCTACAAAGTCCGTTCCGTGGAGCACATTAGAAACCCACAAATTCCTGGTCTTTCCTAGATTAAGAAAAGCCTTTTAAACTATGAAATGGAAAGAGTGATAGAAATTTCAGTAGAAACCCTGGTGGCAGAATCATAGACGGTGGTCGGCCCATTGCACAGTCCATGCGGCCACACCCAGGTTCTTCTCTGATCTCTCCTGGACACACGGGTTTTCCCGAGATATTGCAACACATTAACCAAAATAACATAACCCATCTGAGGAAGGCAGATTGCCAAGGTCAGGAGTTTGAAGCCAGCCGAGCAGAGCCGAGACCCCATCTCACTAAAAAATAGAAAGAAATTAATTGGCCAACTAAAATATAGTAAAAAAATTAGCCGGGCATGGTGGCGCATGCCTGTAGTCCCAGCACTTTGGGAGGCTGAAGCAGGAGGATTGCTGAGCCCAGGAGTTTGAGGTTGCTGTGAGCTAGCTGATGCCCTGGCACTATACACGGCAACAGAGTGAGACTCTATCTCAAAAAAAAAAAATTCTTGTCAAATAAAAACATGCTAGGTTAGCACATCACATAACCTCTATAGATATGAATATCCTCTAGGTAAACTTAGAATAACAACAGGATATACATCATGTAATTTTCTGACAAACAAATGTGAATAAAAATGAGAACTTTATATTATGTGGATACATTAAACCAATGTTGGTTCCTTTCCTTATAATAGAAAGTTAACGCAAGAGCTACCTGTTTTCGAGGTTAAAAAGTAAAATTCACCCAGAAGTGGGAAAATATAGAAACCTAATAGGAAAAAGAAAGGAGCACCTTGTTCTGTAAAAGATAGTTTAGGTTTGGCTACAGTCGGGACAAGACTAAGCCCCGGTTCTGCTGGGGACGAGCGCAGCATAAACAGCCGAACAGCTGAAGAGACTCTCTCCCTCTTGGTCCACCCTTTCAGTGAAGCCCTCTGGGTTCAAGGTCCTCCCAGGCTTCCAGGGCTCCCCCTGTGTGGATCCAGGCTGCCCTCTTCAGCTTCTCAAACTAAGGCAAATGGCAACATGAGACTGGTTTGGTGCATTTTCACAGTGGCGGGAAGAAATTGGGCCAAGGAAGACCTTCTGGGTTCTCCTCTAACCCTGCCACAAGGAAGGCAGGTACCATCAAACTTACATCCAAAAGTACATTTTGCTTCTGTGGACTCATTCATTCATATATTTATTTCTGTTTACAGAAAACAAGAGACTACTATTATGGCGGGGAAGCCCAAGCTTCACTACTACAATGGACGGGGCAGAATGGAGGCCATCCGGTGGCTCTTGGCTGCAGCTGGAGTAGAGGTAGGTTGGGACTTAGCTCAACTTAAGTTATATCTAAAATGGACTGTATCAAAATCCTTTTCTAAGCCAGGAGACTTCCATGTAAGATTTGTATGAATAAATAGTTTTGCCTTCTACTCCCAGTTATTAAGAGAAAAATGTTCTGATTTGACCAAATGGAAGTAAAAGAAAGCTGTCCATCCAAGATCACATAAACAATTAAAAGACATTTTCAAAAGAAACATCAGTGAACATTATGTGTGGGCCTCATTTGGATTGGGATATGAGCAAAGCATAAAATGTAATTTGTGACATTTATACCAAAATTAGGAACCTGAATATTGATTGAAGATTAGATGATATTAAAGAATTTCAGTTAATTTTTTAGTGTAATTGTGCCTGATTTTAGGGATGGTATTATTGTTATTTTGAAAATGATCATTATGTTTTATAGATACACACTCTAGATTTAGGGATGAAAGATATGAGACCCCAATATTGGTGTTATATTTATAACCAGAGAGGGAGAGAGGTTGGCTACAATGAAAGCAACTTGGCTTGAGTTGGTATTTATTGAAGCTAGCGACTGGGACACATGGATCATTGGATGTTATATGTATTTTTATGCATGCTGAAATTTCCATCATAAAAAAGTAAAATGTATGAGAAGCTCAGTGGATTAAAGTATAAAGCACAATGGGGGGAAGGAGGAGGGATTCCAACACATTTCATGTTAGACTGAGTAAATTCATTCAGCAGTGATTTTCTTGAGCACCTACTAAGTGCCAGGCTCTGTGCTAGGCTCTGGGGTAGACAGAGAACAAGACAGACCTGGTCCCTGCCCTGGAGCATGTCTCTGAGGACACAGACAAGTAAGTAGGTGACTAAAATGAGGAGTGGGGGCCTCTAGGAGAACACCCAGCATTCCACAGTGTTCCAAGGCCCTTCTTCCAGGGTCTGAACAGGAAGTGCTGGTGGGTTCTGGGCGTGACTCTGTGGAGTGCTGCCCTCTGCAGGTGTCCCTGGGAAAAACACTTGCGTGTGCAGACTGAGGCTCAGCAGGTGTGTGTGAGGGGGGGGCAGGGACAGGCCCAGGAGACCTTGTCCTGAGGCGGAGCAGCAACTGGGAGGACAGGGCTGATTAAGGCCGTGCTCAGGCTCTGGCTTCCCAGTGCCCAGAGCCTGATGGTATTCCAGTCCCTCAGGTCTCCACAATATCACAGTGGTGACCGCGTGCAGTGGCTCACACCTCTAATCCTAGCACTTTGGGAGGCTGAGGTGGGAGGATTGCTTGAGGCCAGGAGTTTGAGACGAGCCTGAGCAAAAGTGAGGCGCTGTCATACAAAAAAAAAAAAAAATAGGAACACTTAGCAAGGCATGGTGGCTCACGCCTGTAGTCCCAGCTACTCAGGAGGCTGAGGCAGGAGGATCTCTTGTGCCCAGGAGTTTGAGGTAGCTGTGAGCTATGATGATGACACCTGCACTCTAACCTGTGTGACAGAGTGAGACCCTGTCTCAAAGAAACCAACAAATAAACAAAACTCCCACACGGCCAACCCCATCCCACCTCTCGCTGTGACCCACCGCCATCGCTCTGTTTGTCTTCAAGTGGACGCTTTGTTATTGCTGGCACACGCCCTCCTCATTAGACACCTCTATCTCCTATTACGATAGTAATATACACCGACCTCGCATGGTCACAGATCGGCAACAAAGTCCGTTCCGTGGAGCCACATTAGAAACCCACACATTCCTGGTTTCCTAGATTAAGAAGCCCTTTTAAACTATGAAATGGGAAGAGTGATAGAAATTTCAGTAGAAACCCTGGTAGCAAGCAGATCATAACGGTGGTCGCCCATTGCACAGTCCATGCGGCCACACCCAGGTTTCTCTCTGATCTCTCCTG